TTTGAAGCTTGAAAGTAAACCTCCCTTAGCATGGTCAATTTCCCTATGCGCTCATTGTGACTGGCTGGAAGAAGTATAAGTTGGAAGGATTCGCACCCTTTCGAGCAACAGCTAAGACTACCACTATCAATGTCACTTATCGGTTTGTTTGATTGGGCTTACGAACTCGCAGTCATCTTAAATAACGACAATGTTCCCTCCCAGCCAGTCAGCGGTGAGATGCCTAATGGATTTAATTTATTTGTTTTGCTCAACTCAACATAAGCTATCTATTTCTCGATATGCTGTAATAAATGTAAAAAAACAATCAAAACATGGTCTTTTTCTTGTGCTTACTTAAAAGACAACTCTTTTTCAAACTTCTGAGTAGGAGATAAATTGGAACGCTTTTTAAGCAATTGTCAGCTGGAATATTGAGATCTGGAGCTTACGACTAACAGTTCAGTACTTTCAACAGCCTATTTGAGTTAATTTCCCAGTAAATTCAATACAACCTTTGAATTGCAGCTTTCAATTATTTTTTTCATCATATTTTTGCAGGTTCAAGAGTCCGGTTATCTGCTGCAGGAATACTACAAATATAAGAAATATCATGAAGATGATGAAGACGATAACAAAGCGTACAAGGAAAAGTTATTCAAAGGAATCTCAGTGATACTTGCCGTAAGACGCGAATGTGACTTTTATTTTTACTCTATTTCTCACGTTTGCTAATTCGTGAGGGCGGTGAATTTAATCTAGTTAATTGGTTAAGTACTTTCATTGGGAGTGAGTCATGCCTACCGCAGTACTATAGTCGCCCTTGTGAGGCCAAAAAAATTAAAAATACTTTTTTTGATATTTAGAATTACAAGTTACATGAAGTGCGCAAATACGGATATTCATGAATTAAACTTAATTAATTAGTGATTAGCTATTTGCTCTCTTCCATAATTATTAATATTTGGTTTAAACGTTGATGTGTATTAAAAATTACCATATAATACAAGATTCAATAAGTAAAACGTAAGCTCTAAATTCAATCTTTTAAGGAAGTTATACGGTTTTGTATAATCATCTTTATTAATCTAAGCCATTATCTCAGATTCGAGTTTGAATAAAACTTCCACTTGGTGATATGTGCAAAATTAATTTAATAGATCATTCCATAAAATAGGATTAACTGAAAAAATAGTACCATTGGAAATCTTCTAATTAAAAATAAAATAGATGCAAATATCTACCACATGCGCTTAAATCAATGACACATATAAATGAGTACTCTTCAGGGTGCTCAAAAATATCGAAAGTTAAGCAAAGATTGCTATTTCAAGCTCTCTAGTGCACTCGAATTTAAATTATTCAAAATACGAGTAAGAGCTTAGTCAAATAAGAACGTCACAGAGAAAATTAATTGGATCAAATGATGCCCGGCTATCCACTTCCTGAAAACTGAATGGAGAACACTGCGAGATTGGCATTTGGATGATCCTCGTAATACTTGACTTTAATGTTAAATTAAATACAGGTCATAGGAACACACCCACACCCACACACACTCACACACACACACACACTCTCTCTCTCCCTCTATGTATCAAGGAGAAACTGTGAAGTTGGAATTAGTCTGTGAAAGCCGAAATTCAGTAAGGCAGGTATTAAAGAAGGGTCAGAATTTCTTATTTCTTCTTTACTAGGTCACCGAAACTTATAAAGATAGGGATTCATTTTTATCTACTTCAGGCGGTTCCTATATTTCAAATGTCAACTTTCCTTCACAGCCAAACCAATGTGATCTATATTTTTTCCATCTCTTTTGCTATAAAGAGGCAGAATTCGTTTCGTTCGATAACTCTGACACGATATCTATTAAGTTATTAAGTCTATTTACAAACACTTTTGTTGCTAATTTTTCCCTTGAAGGATTTGGACGTAATGTTGTCAGAAACCAAGGGGGAGTATGCCGCTTCCACTGAAGTCACAATTGCCGACTTCTATATGCTCGATTTCATTGACTTCCTGAGGGCGAATAAACCGGAGTGCTTGGAGTCCTACCCCAGTTTGGCCAGGTGGCGAAAGCATCTCATGGCGAATAATCAGTCAGTTGCTCGATTCACCGCCTCTCGAACCTGGCTACTAATCTAATAAAAAAACCATTGGAAATCTCCAAGTCAATAAGCTTTCTTCCCCTTTCTACCAGCTAATCTACTTATCAGAATGTAGAACTCATTTACAATAAATGCTTCACAAGTATTTCAAAATCGAGATTGCTATTGATTACTGCTATTGATGCGCTTGAGTTTTGAACAGATCGGTTTTCTTGATTTATAAGCAATCGGCCAAATAAATCAGTCTCATTTCCCCATATTTACCCATCTCTTGTTATAAAATCAACGATACTAGTTTATGCCGGAGGATTTCAATTATACTAATAATTATATAACCCCCAGTACCAAGATCTAAGCTGAATGCTTGCAAAAATAACTTCGAGCAGTTGTTTTTATCTCCATTTTCTACTTTATATCAGCTTGGAATCAGAAATATTTCAGAACAACGGAAAGTAAGCATCATAGAACTGTTGAAAATACAGCGACGTTATTAATGGAAGCATATATTGCAATTTTCATGGGAATATAAAATAAAGTAATATAAAATTTGTTGGGGCGAAGGAGACAGGATGTTATAGGTTGTTGCACAAAATAAACAAGGACCACCAGGTGGGCTCCAATACGAACTAAGGTCATCAGGTGCAAAGAGGTCAGAGAAATCAACCTCAATATGGGAATTTTGGAAAAAGGAGCAGTGTGGGAGGGTTATGAATTTGATAGGAGTGTGTCACAAATAGTGCTGGCTTATTCCCTGAAATTTGGGACTGGTTTGCGACAGCTGAAGATAAGAACTGGGGTTGTTGAAGCTAATCGTAGCCATTGATGTGCTTTAGACAGTTGGAACAGTTAACGGACAGTGGTGCCTTTGTGCGTAAAGTTGTTAAGTGGTCGGAAGTCGTGATTTTGCGACAACTTGAGTCTATTTAGGGAACTGAGAGACATGATGGTCCGATCTTGCCAGCACAGAGCTTGTCAACAAAGTGAACTTTATGAGATTTTGAGACTGCTCTGTCTAATCGGTAAAGTGTACAAGCCCACAAGATTAGCATTCAGCCATGTCATACTCGTGTTCAGTTAAGTGGATGATGCCCAAACCTAAACTAGAAACAAAGTAATTGGGAAAATAGGGCTATTTCAAAAATCCACTTTTGATAGCGCTCTCCACCACTTATCTTGGCTAAAAGGTAACATCAGGACACACGATTTAATTAGTGCTTGCTGATGGCAAATCCATGAGAATCGAATCCATAACTTCTGGTGCTGTGTCTTTGAAGTCGTCTTATTGGCTTTAATTAAATTTTTCTCTAATGCACGTTACTAATCGAGCCTAATCCAATATGTCTGAACCAAGGAGTGTTGACTTTGATAGTAAACATCTAGGTTCACTAAGCAGCCTTTAAGTAACTTGTAAACAACTTGGAATCAAGGTGTTTGCTACTATTACAAAGATTTTACCCCAAGAAATTAACTAATAAATTCATTTGAAGGCTACTTTTGTTGGTCATAGAAATTCTCCAATTACTCAAACTATCATGCAGATGTTTCCAATGATGAAAAACAATTACGAAAAAACATTAAGTCATACCAGTGCCAAATAATTTACTCGATGTCGTAAATTTTTAATAAACAATCATTTTGCGCTATATCCGCTTCATGTGTCTGAAGTATTTGGGCTTATTTCGTGAAACGATGCTGGATTAAGGTGATTGTTCTTAAATGCTTTATTACGTTTCCATGAACCAACATAGGAAAACTATATTTATTGACATATCGATTATTTATAATTTATATTCTCCTAAAAAGCAGTCAGGAACAAATTATGCTACCTCTTAATATTTATCAGCAGTCAGGTAATCATGCGATGGTTTAATGCAATAAAATTTGTTTTCCCAAAAGAGTTGAAGCGTACATATTTTAATCAAAATGGGAAACTCAAAAAAGAAATAAAATAGAGATACAGTGAGATTTGACCCAAACCGCAGAGATAAAATATTTATTTATTTACTTCAAATGGCAGGCGTTTTGATAGTCATCACTAGCCCTTTAGTGGACTTCAGGCTCCACAGAGGGGAAGGAACACCAGAGTGAAAAAAGTCGAGAGTGGGTGGATGGAATAGAAGAGTGTTTCAAAGATGCAAAAAGAGACAAACACAAAGGTATAAAAAAGGTGAGGCGAGAAATGTGGAAGTATTCAAATATGATATACGGTGGGGCCATGGTAGTTTGAAGTCAGAAGTCAACTACCATTTAATAGGCTTTTTTGCCGTATGAGTATTCGTTGCCCAGGGTGCACCACGTGGAGGTAAGTTTATCTCACACCCCTAAAATATAGCTCCTTATTTAAAGGAAAGAATGCCCATTGTTCCTTCAATTCGTACACTGACGAAAAACGAGTTCGACCTCCTAGTATTTGTCGAAAGAGAACTTACTTTCGGGAACTGCAATGCAAAGAACAAAATTTTCTATGCAATACAAATGCCTTGTTTTCCGGAAAAATTGGATTAAAAAAACATTTTAGACCAAAAGAATAACTCAAATTTACACAATCCTTTTATCTATCCAAAACTAATGATACATTCAGGTATTTTAATTTAAATTAAAAATGAAAGTCGAAATTTAAAGTTTTTATTTAATTTAAATCTTTTAATAATTTTCATTTTGTCTATGAATTCCTTCAAGAAAATTAGGAACTTTTCAAGCCACGTCTATACACGCCCAAGTACACAATCGTCAAATTCGGTGAGGCTTGTGTCAAAGTAAATAAATGGTCAACTTTCCTGTATTTCTTGTTCAATGATAGTTTTGAAGCAACTTTAGTTGACCTATTTAATATTTTCGAGTTTCTCGCATTTGCCATCTATAATAAAATTCCATTTAATTACCGGAAGCTTATTTTGTTGTGAGTTGCTTGTTCCAATTAATTTATTTTTAATGAAGTTTTTTCTCATTTTAACTATATAGTTCTCCTCAAGATGACGGCTTTCATGAACCAGGTAAATTGCTGTCATATAATCATAATGCTTTTTTCTTTCATAACTTATTGGTTTATATATCTTATTTTAGCTCCCAGCACAAATGTCTCAGATTATTGCCATTCGTGATAAGTTTATTGAGGTCTCCGAACAATCTGACGAGAAACTATCTGCAATGATTGAGGCTGCAAAAGATTTCCGAAGTGGCATGGAACCCCTCAAAGAGGAAGTAGATCAGCTTCAGACACGTGTTAAAAGTAGTTTATTTTATTTTCATCATAACCTTTATGCCCATTAAGACTTACAGTTCTGTATCGAGGGTTTATCTCACGTTCAAAATTTCTATAAAACTGGTCGTGAAGTTGAGCAGACTATTATCAGAGGGTAGGTTATTATACTTTAATTGATTTATATTTATAAAAATTCATAGTCCAGCCGAAAATCTTACTGAATATCTGAAAGCGATGGATCGAATCAAGGATTCCCTTGTTTACTTTAATCAAAATGACACGGATCATCTAGAGTACACCCGACTTGTATGGCCTACTTTTTATTTCTGATCAATTTTTGTTCCTCTAGAGTACTCTTCTTTCTAACGGTTTGAAAGCATTGAACGTTTACTTCGGTGAAAATTTGACTAAGTCATTTTCCACAATGCCTTCAGATGTCCTCTATAAGTTAGCTGAGAAAGACGGTAAGAAAATATCGCCTTTGTTTTAATATTCGTTCTTTTTATTGTCGGTCTATTTTTTATCCTAGACACGATCTCATTGGATGGAAATAAACAAGAACAAGGATCAGCTCCTGCCATGTCAACTATTCTCGATTGTGAGTCGATATCGGAGGAATCAATTCGCATTCTCCAGGAGATATCTGCTTGGCTTCGAAGAGCTACTACTCTTGTTAATTCCAAGGAGGGTACACAAAAATCTCACCCTCATCTGGCTCGTCTTTTTCGGTTTCAAGGCAGTGGAGTTTCTATGGATGGAAATTCTGCATCTGGTGGTTATCAGATTTCGCAGTCGCTGGCTCAGTATTGCGAATTTAGAAAGGATCTTATGTGTACTAGTTTGGCTGAGTAAGCGAATTTGTTTCTCTCTACTTAATTACCCCTATTGTAATGTTGCCCACAGTTTGATTAGGTATGTATTTATTTCGTGGTTTCAGTCGTTATGTTAAATTTGCATATTAATATGGTTTAATTAATTTTAAGCTTTGACTTTGATTGGAAAGTGAGATCACTGAACACGGAGACATTAGTTATCCTAGTCCATATTATCGTGGTCCCTTTCAGTTCCTCTCTGTGCTTGTTTTTTTTCTACACTTGTGCCATTACTAGGCAATAAGTAACTGAGCTCTTTAACAGTTAATCAATATTACAAACTCGAACTGCCAGCTCACACTTCCGATAAGTTCACATTTTTAAAGATTTATTGACGCTTCTGATCAGATAATCTGATCTAATTGCTAGCTATGCATAGATTGGATAACGAATGGAAAGGTTAATCAGTCCAGTACGAACTTTCCAGCTTCAACTTAGACGTTAGGTTGGAAGACCATTCTCTTCTTCAAATGCCATCTTTCCTACTTCTTGTAATCAATTTTCTGCACTTGTTTTACTTACATTCCGCCGCGAAAAATCACTATTCCTTATTTCTTTATTTAGGCTTAGGGAATACCAGAAGTCATTGGAGAAGAATACCCAAAATGCGGTAAGCTGAAATTTTTTACTGATATTTTCACCTCCGTTTGCCGTTGGAAAACATTGAACCATTTTCCTATCGTTTAGTGTGTTGATCGGGTCAGGAAGTTATTTTAAACGCACTTTTATTGCTGAAAGGTTTCACATTTTCAGTCCATATTGTTTTGTCTCTTTTTGTCTCATTCCTCCTTAACTGGCACCTAATCATTACGAACAATCATTACTTTCAAGTTTATCTTAAAAGTAATTTCATATCGCTAATCTTGGGTTGAAATATAGTGTCTTTTCACTATCCAGACTTAACACATTTGGGTGCTCATTCTGCTCATAGGGTGTGCGCTGATGGGCACGAACCCGATTTTAGACTCTTTGTTAATCGTTTCACCATTCCCTTTGTTTTTTTTATCATCTCACTTTGGGGTTCCATCATGAGCAGTTGGACGCCTTTTGTTGAAAATGTTCTAATTTTGTATTCCAGCGATCCCGTTCCACAATGGCAAGTAGTCAATTGAGCATCGGCACACCTGGACGTCGTCGGTATCTATATTCACCCTCAAGTTGCAATACCACTTAACATTCCTTAATCTCTCTTCTTTTTGCAGCGGGCTAAAGGCAGTCGGAATTGTTTGGGATGGTAAGTGCTCTCTTAATATTTTGATGGCGACTTGTTCTCACACATTTGTAACATGCTTTGGGATATTGGTAGAGATGCTTTGACCCTTGTTAAGTCCAGAGCCGTGGCATTATTGGTACATTTCTAGGCATTGGCGTTCATTGGTTGGAGTATAAGCTCAATTCCTCATGGGAAATTATTTGAAAAAGAGACCATGTATGAACCATTCATGCTACCTTAGTTTCCTCTCATAATTTATTGCTTGAAATTTAGCCAATTCCCGACGAGGAGTTGCCAGTGACATTCGCGAAACGGATGATTTGGACTCGGAACACTACAGCACTAGTCTTAGTGCCTTTCTCATACTTACTAATGTACGTTGCCTCTCTTATGCTCATCATTTCCACTTTTTTGTGATTTTTTTGCTGTTTTCAATACCACAGCGCATATCTAACAATTCAATCAGTTTTCTTTGATAATGTCATCATTAAATCGACGATGTTCATCTGATTAATCGCAACCATTGGTGCCTATTTCGAAGGTTGCACTTGGCATCCATGTAAATTGAATTTAAAGTAGCTCTAATCTCAAATAAGGTCACTTTGGGTGTTTGACCAATCTAGGCCCTTCTTAGAACTGGTATTCTTCTTGGGGACTAATGGGTAGCAACCCCCCTTTCCTGGCAATAAGATTAGGAATGAATGAGTGGGGAATTAAAGGAGGAAGAACTTGAAAGAGGAGTTTGGCTGAAAAAAAGGTGTCAATTCTTGGGAGGTGGGTGGAGGAGGATAACCCAGATTTTGTGGGGTATGCGAAGTGACGTACGGTAAAACAATTGACTGATTTAACTTTCTTTTCTTTCAAGTACTTATTATGGAATATTTGTTGGGCTTGCCGGTTGACCTTCAGTATATTAGTACAAGAAAACTTTAAGTCATGTTCTCCTTTTTGAGGGTGAAGCATTACTTTCAAAAAAACAGGATTTTCATTAATCTTTTTTCTTAGGAGATGTAGCGGAAAGTTCAATGACTCACTACTCCTCAAATTCTCTTAATAACTACTTCTCTTTTGTCTATTCTTTAATAAGTTGGAAAGAATTTCTATGTTAATATTTTGCTGTCCATTTCAGCGCGAACGACTTCTTTTGGATCGTCTGAATCTGGCGGCTAATTCTCACGAAGCCCACTTCGCCTACAGTCTCATCTGTCGCAAAGCCGTTAGCGATCTCATGACCGAAGGGGGAGTACGTCTTAAACATCAACTATAGGCCAATTGAGTAGATATGGTGTACTTATTTTGTGTTCTCCCTCCCCC